TATGTTCATGATTTCTGCCTTACGTAATAATGATAATTCTTTGATATTTATTCCCACAGCCGAAGCTAAACTGAATATCAATCAAGGATATAACAAACTTGCGCTTCACTCCAGCAGATTAAATAATTGAAAAAGTCTTTTTACATACACTACACTCAGACAAACAAAGGAGATCTGCTACAGACCACGTCAGCCTTCCACCGTCTAAGCTGTACTTCTTACTTTAGAACTCAGTACTCTCTGTGGTCCTCTTTGGAAGGTTTGTTTGATAGCTTCCTCGGTGGACATGAAAGATTAATGTAGTAGAAACACCTGCAGCAGTTCCTCAATGACAGCAGTAAAAGTGCAGTAGAACAGTGGTGAGAACAGAGCCTGCCTGCCATGGCCCCATAAAGCAAATTGTTAAACATAGTGTGAGCCATCTTGTACCTGACCCAGCCTTCAGAACTGAACCTTCTTTTGAGAGGCTTCAAAAGCACAAACAGTCTGTCCTGTGCCAGCATGTGCACTGTTGACCAGAGTCATATGCTCCTCTTGAACACGGGCCTCGTGAAAGTAGCGTTCATATACAGTTTGATTTTCTTTTTTCTGTATCATTCCGGATGCAGAGAATTACAGAACTGATGCTAAACAAAATGAGTTCAACAAAATGAGCTTTAATTACCGTAACTCACGGTTTATTTACATCCAGTTCAACTGAACAGCAAAGTGTTGTCAGCATGTGTGACAAGTCTAATGGAGTGGATACGTGTTGTCAGCGTGTGTGACAAGTCTAATGGAATGGATACATTCTTTTTTATTTTTTATTAATGTGCTGTTTTTTCATTTTTTTTTTTTTTATTAATGTGCTGTTTAAGATGTCTGTCTGTTTAGGGCCATTGTACTACATCCAGTGTTCGTTAGTAAATGGATTGACCCAGATAATAGCTCTCATGGTCATGTTACAGACAAAGTTGATTTAAGTCATAAAACGCTATTATCGTCGTGTTTACATAAATACATGATTGTGTTTCTGTGACGATGCAGTCTAATCATTTGCGTCATTACGGCTAATCAAGCAAAACCGGCTCAGCTGCTCTCTTGTTTCCCAGAGTGTCATCTATGACGGGATCAACTAGAGAATCGGACATAGAAAATGATATGCAAACATAATGTGTGTATGGCGCACGAATTTGGCCTCAGATAAATTGAATTTAAAAAAAAAAAATCAACACCCAATCTGAATGGGACTATTTGTTGAAGTCTTACTCCAGCTCACGAGCTGCTAGTAAGACATTGTGGGTCAAGAAACTGTTATAAGAATAGCTAGCAAACCGTGGACAACTCAGGCAGTTATGGCGGAGGCCTGTGATTAGGATTTTATACAAACACAACCCTGCTCACCTGTGTTTACTTAAATGTGAAAACTTCTGTAGTTCGACACAGTGTGTTGTTTTTTTTTATCACTGCATGTCCAACTTGTAACTTTTAAATCTTGTTGCTATAGCTACAGGACTTATGACTACAATCTGATGTTTTATACAGAGGTACATCGATCCAATAATACATTTTAATCCACTTGAAGGTTATATTAAAATCATTATTTTATCAAAAGATTACCCATAAATACTGATCCTTATATTTAAGCTTTCGTACAGTATTTATTTTAATAATCACTATTGACTCATATTAAAAAAAGCAGAATATCTTTTTTGATGTTTTACAGTTTTCTCAAATTAGTAAATTGTGCAAAGTAATAAATACATTTTCCCTTTATTTTTTTTAATTAATTAATTTTTTTTTACAAAACTTTAAACTTACTATTCTGTGACATTTCGTGATGGGTGCCATGTGTAGTAGTGATAGTTTTTTGTAAGACAAAGCGTTGGAATTACATCCGTCGTGAAGCTAAAACAAAAACCTGTCGAGCCTTCTTGAGGAAATGGCCTTGTCGACTAACTGCCCCTTGAGTATTTAAGCAGTATTGACGTCGGTGGTCTAATTTATATGCTGAACACAAAAGGATATTACAGAAGCTCTATGAGTTGACCTGCCTTCTCAGATCTCGGTCTGGACATTTGATACAAACTGTATTTTATGATGTCAATATGCTAATATTTTCACGTGGCCATCTGCCATAAATGTATTAAGGAAACATTGTTCCATCATTTCGATGTACGATGTTTGCGACGTTAAACAAACTTTGCGGAGGAATTAGTCGACAAGCAGAGTCAACAAAGACATTGTCATGTGACGCTCCCCGTGGAACATGGCTTTGTTTACATTCACCCAGCGTGCTAGGTTCCCTGTCTTTTGTTTGTTTTTTGGGGAGAGTCAAGGGCCAACTGTATTTAATTTGATTGTTAAATTTGTCCATACAACATTAGGTCCGTGTCAGATTCCGAAACAAATATATCTGGCATCTCTTCAGCACATCTGAGCAGCAGCTTCACTCCCACCTCATCATCCATGTCAGGTTAAAACCAATAAGACCCTGACCTTTCCTTAAGTGCTTATGATTCATGTCTCATTTTTTTTCCCTCCTCAGTGAAGCTCATGACTACTGTTTTTAAGTATTGGTTTAAAAAATACTGCCATTTCTGTCTGCCCTTTTTTGTAGTTGTTTGGAAGGTCTGCTATTGAATTCACAAGAGTGTTTTTCTCTTCACTGGTATAATCTTAAAAACAGTTAATTATTGTTTTTGGTTTGATTTAGACAATACAAAGCACTTGCAGCAAATTACTTATAACCAAAAAAAAAAACCCCAACCCTCCCCCAAAGTTTTATGCAGCATATGATGATTTACATCAAACACAAATTTCACTTTCTATTTTCTCCATTACATCCCCCACATCCCTACCTTGGATTCATGTTTTGTATTGTTAGCCACTTTTGTGTTGTGAAATGAAAGCTTTTGCGCTGAAAGCACAGGTGGGTGTGAGACACCAGCATGGCGTCTCAATTGTAGCATTAAGAGCAGAGAGAAATATCAAAAGTAAGAACCATTGAGACGGCAGGAGGAGCTTGGATTTGAGCAGATATTAAAAGACGATCGCGCGTGGGCTGATTTTTTTTTTTTTTTTTTCGTGCTTCGGGTAAAAGAATGTAAACCCTGTTTCAGTCAGAGTGTGGATAATAAATGGCAAAACATGAGAGCGCAGCACAACAAACAAGCAAGAGGAAAAAAGGATGTGAAATAGAGCGGCGCATAGTTGAGATATTTCAAGTGATTTCAGAACATGATGCTGAAACACTGGGTGTTTGTGTCCTCAGCGACAACTTCTTTCTCAGCGTCGTTTTCTCTCAACGCGGTTACTGTGTGAAGAGCTCAAATTGACACGTAATGCCGTGCTCGGTTATTGATTATTTATTAGCATTTTTGTTAAGTACATTTTAATTAAGGCCTAGAAATTCTCAGTTATTTGCATCCATCGTTAACTCACGTCACCAAAACCATTTTCCCGAAAGTATTTTTCTTTTTGTGGTATAACTCTTTTTGGGTCATGAAGTGAGACCTAAGAAAAGATTGAAATGAAGTCAAAAATCAGTTTATTTAGCCGTTAAAATGTTTGTTAAAAAAAATCAGACACTTTATTTAGCCGTTAAAATGTTTGTTAATTCAACAGCGGCATAACTGAAAAAAGCTTCACTTTGAAAAATGTGCTGTTAAGGAAGACACGTTACAAACACAACAGAGAGTCTGAAGCTAAATAATTGTGTTTGTAAAACAGGGTGTACTTGGTTTACAATGTCGTAAACCTACAACGTTTTGTGGTCATGTCAGCATCTCACATAAATATTAAGGAAGTCTTGTTCCATCGTTCCGACGTAGGGCGTTAAAACAAATTAAATTGCGGACAAACACGTCCTCACGCCGCGCTACACTGGGAGACAGTTTTGTTTACATTTGCAGGTCGTACACCACACCTTGCGAGGTATGTTTTTTTTATTGGTATTGGTTAACAGTGATATTTCATGGCCATTTTCTGCTCATTAAAAATCAGTTCCTTGATGTCTTAGTATTAGTCACCATTTTCTTCGCACGTTCATGGCCGATCAGGAAGGCTAAATATGACACGTTAATTCAATATATCAGACTGTGGTCTGTATTTGTAACATATTGGCGACATGTTACGC